TTAAAATTTACTTCCTGCTTTTGACTAGAAAAATAATTTGGGAATATTCAAAGAAAATTTGTTTTGCGTGTTTTAACTTTAAAATAAGCTTCTGTAACCATTTTTGCACAATTAACTAAACTTCTTTAAACCATTAAAATCTACTTATAAATAGTGTTTTTTAAATCATTTTGAAATAAAGAATACAGTTCTGACCGACAAGAGTGAACTATCTAACTGATTAATAAAACTTACTTATTTTTGAATAAAATTACAAAAAATGTAGCTTATTCAAAAACGATATTTATTGCCGATTATTATTATAAAAATTAGAAATGAAAACGATTATTATTATAAATAAAAACGATATTATTATAAATAAAAACGATATCATTATAAATAAAATCGTTATTATTGTATAACGATTATTATTCTAATAAAAACGATTATTATTATAAATAAAAACGATATTATNATCAGAATTTTTGCAAGTTGCAATCGCGCAAACTGGCATTTCGATAATAGTTTTAAATTCTTGTAAATTCACTGCAAAAACTGAGGAAAGTCATTATAGAAAATAACAAATGTCTTAGAATATCTCGCAAAAAGAAATGATTCTATATTAGTTAGAGCTAGTAAGGCCAAACGCTCCGTTCTTGAAGTAAGAGTGCGAGCTTTGCGCCAAAGTGACGTCACTAGAGTGACGTCGGAGGATCGGCGCGGCGAGAGATACTTCAAAGGAGTGAACCAGCCCTTCTATTCTCTTTAGCCCTGGGTTGGTTTACCCTATTTTGTTTAAGTTGTAACAGATTAACTTAACTAATTTATTATAATTTCATAATTCATAATTTCATTCGCTGCAATTATAAGTAAAATAAATAAATTTTTACTAATAAGAAATTTTTGCGCAATTAAGTGTTGCGCAATTACAAATATAAATGCAATATTATTTACTGAAATTACAAATAATTCAAATTTTAAATTAATTAGACTTTTCATTTTTGAACTGTTTGTAAAAATCTTAATATGAATTTATAATATTAAATAATTGAACAAATTTTGCGTGGAAGAAAAAATTACAATTCAAGAATTCTTGAGTATCAAATTCTCGAACTATGATGTGCAAAACTATTTTTCAATGAAAAAATTGTGTCAGAATTAAAAGATACTAACTAAATATAACTGTATTAATTTTCCCGAATAACATATACTTCAAAGTTAGAATTAATTTTTAAATTATGAATTGTTTATTAGAAGTTATTGAACTTTGCTCACAATATTCTAAACTTTTGCCCAACTTGTTAAATGCTAGTGATGAAATATACGATTGAAGTTAAATAATCGATGTTTGAAATAATTGCTCTATTTTTAATTTTTAGAAAGATAAGTTATTTCGTCATTATAAATAATCAATGTTTGTCTTAAATTTCGCCACTATGAGGAAAATGCGAAATTCTAAGTTCCGTCTCAAAAAGTATAGTATTTTATGACATCCAGAAAATATGTTTTTCTACCTACCATTATCACCAAATATAGGGATAAGTAGCCAACATTGCTTACCATTCCTTCTTTTCCGTCACGTGCTGAGAGTATTATTCAGACAGGTATTGGTTTCAAAGTGAGTGTAATTTTACAATTGCGAGAGCAGTCTACATATATTATTAGTCAATGGTTGCAGAACATTCAATGCAATATGAAAAACCATTTTCAACAAGATATTTTTATTTAAATTCAAATCGTAATATGAGTTTTATTTCTGAAAGGAAATAGATTATTTTAACCTTGGAAATTTCCTTAAAATATTTAACATTTTAGTACGCTGTGAAAGAAGGTAACTTTAGAATTCAATAAATCAAAACAAAATCTTACGACTGAATTTCATTTATGAATATTGAAATATATGTAACTGCTTTGGGAGGGGGGAATCAATGACAAATTAAGTTCAAGGAGCGATATTTCTGTGGCGGAACCAACGACTGACTAGGCTCAAATACCTTTATTTTTGTGTACCTGTCGAACCTGTAAGCTTCTATACCAAACCTGAAACAAACAGAACTGAATTCAAATCAATAATGTATGAAAATATTTTTTTACTATTTCAAAAGTTTGTTCTTTCGCTTTCACTTTTCATTTTGCTTTATGTTTGACATCTGGGATCTTGTCTAATGTTAACTACGACTATGGGTTTACATTTTATCAAAGTTATGTTTTAAATTTGGCACTTCTACATTTTATTTTTGGACGATTGATGCATTTCAAAGGCTGATAAAATTCCAGCTACCTATCTCGCCAGAGGCTTTTAGCAGAGATGCCATCCAATTTAAAAATAGGTCAAAAAAGGTCAAATAGTGGCATCTTTGCTCTTTCATATGTAATTTGAGTCAACCGGCCTGTGCAGGGAACTGTCCGTGCATCAGAAAGGTTCTGTGTTCGAATCCAAGGGCAAGGCATGGATGTTCTTTCCTTCTCTGTACTATCTGTCCTCACTGTGGGAGCGACATTGGCCCACCTAATATGGTGTCCCTGAAAGAGAGGCCAATAAAATCGCCCTGTATATGCCTGAATTAACGGATGTTAGTACAGGGGAGCATTGGAGGGAAAAAAAATATGTAATTTGAGAAATGAGTCAGGTGAAGATGTTTTTAAATTTAAAATTGAATCATTAGTCGAAAATTAAAGAATAGATCTTCATCGTGTAATGATTTAATGGCTGTGTGATTAAGACAAAGGAATTGTTCTTAAAAAAATGCTGCTATTGAATTTGAAGTTAAGCTGCAATTGAATTAAATATAGGGAATTTCGTTGAAAGAAAGGAATTTTGGAGGGTTATAAGGTATAAGGTTATAAGGAATTTCGTTGCTGAAAAAGAAACTTGTTTAACAGAAATAGCATTTAATGAAAATAATAGTGCAAATTAGCTTAAGGAAATTTAAATAAATCTTCAAATATTAAAGGGATAAAGTTAAATTACATTTTGTAGGAAATATTATTGCAATCGACGATGTATCATAAATTTCATAAATTATTTATGAAAGTATTTAAAGAGAAAACAGAAAATGAGCAATTTCGAAATATCTTTATTAATCTTCGCACCGATGCTTTTCTATTAGATGTAAATTCAAAGATACTTTACTAGCTTTTTAGTTTTTATATTATAACTATGACAGATAAAATCTTGCAATCGTCATTCTGTAATAGTTCTTGGAATGTAACGGCAAAAAATAAAAATTCTTTGGTTGTTGCCAGGGCTTGTTTTCGAAAGTTTTCCATCCCATTAATTTCTCATAAACTTATGTGTCACCGGAATTTCAGAAAAATTAGTTGGAAAGGTAGCAATCAAATATTTTGATTAATCTTGATTAATTCTCCAACTAATGCTTTTAGTATACCATCGATTGAAATGTTTATTAAAGATTTTTAATTCTTGTCGGTTTAGCAAACAGATTAGAGTAGTCGATCTATTTTCGAATAAAGTAGTCATTATTCATGTCAGAAAATCTCGTCACATAACGCCTGTATTTCACGTACAATGACAATATTTTACTATTTAATCAATTTGCATTACTTCAAATTAATTCAACAATAGTTTTGTAAAAATTGATGGAAATATGCATTTTTAACATTTCTCTTAAATATTTAAATTTTGGTAATTTTCAAAAACTCTGTAATTAATGGTAATAATCGTTTTCAATAATTAATCAGATATTATCTCACCCAATAAATATCAATGATCATTTAGATCATAATATTATCATAGTCTAAAATTACCGTTGCTAATAATTATATTATGATTGATATTTATCATAAAACAGAATGTTAACGGCTGACCGTCAGAATATAATCTAAACCCTCAAAAACGCAATGTTTTTAAAAATATACATATCAGTATTTCATGATTTATTTAAATGTCCCTCAGATTTGGTATTTAAATTATTTATTGACAAAATAATTTTTTTTTTAAAATTTACTTACTAATATAGTATAATAAATAATGTCTCTAAAATTTTAAAGTGCACTTATAGTTCCAATTTTTTGAAGAAAAAATAGCTAAAAGAATGATTGCTGCAGTAAACCAAAAAATACCAATGTTCCATGAAGGAAAAAAAAGACTTGAAATTATTTTCTTCTTTTTATCAAACAGCTATTTTCAAAATGGAAAGTGAATTTAATATTCTTAGAAACCTTTAAAATTGAAATTTACTTTCACTGAAATTTCACAACAACTATTCCACAAAAAGAAACCACATAAATTAAATAAATATCATGTAATATCACATTAAAATAACTTGACCGAGATTCCTGTAATGAAAACAGTGGCATCGTGTTAATATCACTGTTTTAAGAGAAAGTTTCTAATTACGAATGTTATCAAACAGAAGTAATTTGAGAAAAAAATTTTGAGCAGCAATTTATGCTTGTTTACCCCTAGAATATTCTGGAACTATTTGTTCATAGAGCTGAAAAATATTCAAACCAAAAAGTCACCTTATACATCAAATAGTCAGAAATTAAAATAGATTAAAATTCAAATTAAAAATGAAGCTATAAATGAAAGTAAAGTTATTATTTTTAAATAATGACAAATAAAAATAGAGAAAGAAAATGTGTGATGAACGGCATTACAATCACTTTAAAAATAAAATAAAAATTTAGAAATAGATCAGTTTTTTTTTCTTTGTAACACACAAAAAATTTCTATGATAAATAAAGTAAAATCCTTCTTTTAAAAACATTTATTAAGTTGTTGGCATTCAGAACATAGAAGAGAAAAAAGTTTCTTTGTTAAAATTTCTTTATTTGCTTAAAATTTCTACTAGAAACTAAAAAGGAAAAACAATATATCATTCATCTATCACGTTTCAGCTTGCTCCTGCAGCTGCTTTTTAAATTAATGTTTTAGCCATTAAATTAATCAATCCACCTATAATGCCACAACTTTGCATGAAATTGTAAGTTGTATATGTTTTACACACATTCAATATATATATATATATATATATATGTATGTATAAAATGGAACATTAGACTAAATAAAAACCTTCAAATTTTAATAAACAAATTAAATACCTCAAGTCTGAATAGTCATCTTCACTGGTAGCCAAATCTTGCGATGGACCGAAATTCTTTTGAGTAAGTTCTTCTTCCTCCAACTCACTAGTTAAAAGATCATCTTCAGAGAATTCTAATATGCTGTTTTCATACTCCACTCTTTCTGGGGTTTGGTCACGTCCAATGGCATTCTCGGGTTCCTCTAAGAAACTCATAGCTGGTTTAAGTTTTTCTTCTACTACCTCTGGAGATGCTGAAGGCGCATCTTTGTTGTCGACAGACTGGCGACCAGGTGACAGCGCTTTTTCAGTATTGTCGAGCAAGATTTGGTAAAGCTTTTCTTTCTCCTGCTTCTCTATCGCACAAGAGAGAAACGCTTCTTTTCTCTTCATCATTTCTTGTCTTCTAACATCCTGTTTTTGCATTCGGAAATGGGGTATGCAATAGAATTTTCCTATACAAAGATAGATGTGCAAAAACAATTAACACCAGTAAGTTGATAACATTTAAAAAAAAAGAGAGATAGAGAGAGCAATGTAACAAACCTCCACATAAGGCATCGCTATCATAAGCATATTCTCCAAGCCTTAAAGCAGCCCCACAAAACTCACATTTGANGTTTGTTTGTATTTATTTATTATATATATATATATATATATTCCTGTTGTAATTTCAAAAAAAATGCAGGTGTGTAATAAAATGTAATTATTTGCTGTTCTCACAAATGAAAAGTCTTTGTACTTACTTTAATCCATTGCTTTGTTTATAAATAATTTCTCCGTTTCGCAAGACCCTTCCTTATCTTTTCCACCTATTCACCACTCAAGTCTGTTGATATATAGTTTATAACGGAAATCGTCAAGTAGTGTATTTTCCTGGCTGGTTTTCTATCAAAATAAGTGTTACGGAAAAAATATATATTCATTAAATGATCTGTGAAAAAAAACTGATAAGCATTAACATTTCTTATTTGAAGCGAAATTTTTACCATTTATATTACATAATTAATTACTTTTTGAACTCCTATTCTCGATTCTATTACTTTGAAAATAGAAATATCTATGATTTCATTTCGCAATGCAATTTGTATGATAATATGAGACAGTAACTATCCAAACATTTTTTTATGTTAAATTTAAGAAAACTTGTGTAAGTGCGGTAAATTTATGGCAACTCTTTTTCTCACTTTTCTGCACTTTCGAATTCAACAGAGAATAGCGAGATCATAAATATAAATCTGTCAAAAAGATAAATAAAATTTCGAGGGGTATATTTCCTTGATTAAAACAAAAAATAAGAACAAATTCTTGAAAAATCACTAAACATTGCAATAACTTTTAAACGAATTAGAATTTTAACAAAACAAAGATTCTCGGTTGAAAGAAGTCCTCTAACAAAATGACCATTTCAGGACGCCTAATTTCAAATTCTGAGATGCAGAACAGAGCTTGTGATATCTTTTACGAAAATTTACCAGTTAAAAATTCTCGAACTAACTATCGAATATTGATATTTTTAATTTAATCGAACTCTCTTTACATTTATTCCTATTTCACACAAAATGTAAAATGTAACTTTGAATTAAACTCCCGAAACAGTCTCAGTCGTTGGAGCTCTAACATTTTTTTTCTAATTCCTGGTTTTTGCGCGTGTGTTTTTTTTTTCTCAAAGTTTCTATTTCAAACATTGGTGAATCAGAACTGCTCCTGCTAAAATTAATGAATAATAACTATCATTATTGCCTTCATAAAATAAGCTTCATTATTTTTATTGCAATGAAGTGTGGGATTTTCACACGTTTTTTGATAGCGCCTATTTTAAATTGTAAGTATTACATAATTTTTCAATGATTTCAATTTTACTAATACTGAACTAAACTAAAAAAGTAAATAAAATGAAATATTTTTTTTGACTTATTTTACCACTACTATTGCTTAACTTCTGTCAGCATTAAGCTACTTCTCTCTTTAGTATTTCAAATCACGTAAGCAAAAACAATAGAATATTTATTATTACAGGATCATGTAATTGGATTTAAAAAAAAGTCATTTCTTATAATATTAAAACATTAAACTAATACATAAAATCCCTTATATATATTCAACCACACATTAATTACAGTTAATTTTTCCATAAAAACAAGCAAAATATACAAGCCAATATAATATTCAACCACACATTAATTACAGTTAATTTTTTTCACAAAAACAAGCAAAATATACAAGCCAATATAATATTCAAGTAAGCTTCATTTTTAAAACTGCTTCCATTTATTTCTGCATCCATATAAAAAGGCTAATCATATTTTATAAACAAATGGCGCTTTAAAGAAATTGTTTATCAGTTTCTGCATTTTTTTTAAATTTAAAACAAACTCAATGGTATATTAAAATTAATTAACAGTAATGCAAAGCATTTCAAATTGAGCTAAAATTCGATAAAACTAGTTCTTAAATTACAGTAACGTAACACAAGTTTTATGGTCCTTAAAATTATTGAAATTTAAAAGTACTGCAATCATAGTCATGCCTTCATCTAGAAAAGGAAAAACTCCTTTCTGAAGGTCTCCATTTTCTTTGGAATCAAATTTCTTACCTAATCTCCAGAGTCAAGAAATATAGTCGAAAACATTCTTCCTTTTTCAGACTCTCAAGATTTTATGATGAGAAACTCTTCAAACAAAAATTTAATCATTGAAACTAAACTGCTTTCCGTTAAGCTAAACTCACAAGCATCGTCCAAATATTAAAAAAAAATAAATGAGAAACTCAGGAATTGTGAAATTAGTTGTTGAACACGGAGAACTTTTATTTTTATTGGAAATCCAACATCAATACAATATCTCCGGCACTTGTTTATACTAACATCTATAGAAATAAACTAAGATTCAATTCCAAAGCATATTGGATTCAAAAATAATAAATAATAATAATCATACTAAGATCTCAGATTCGTTTCGATAAAAACAATCTCATGAGTGTTTCTCATAAGACTTGAAGTTCTCATGAAGTTTTTCCTAGATGCAAGTTACCAAGTGTGCCTGGAATAATAAGGTAAAAATATGAAAGTAAGAACTAATGATGTAGATTCTGATTTGTTTTTCATGCACTTTCATTATTAGTTGGTTGTCAGGCTCTTAATTTAAGCAAAAGTTGCGGTAAAATAAGAAAAATAGAAAAAACTCTATTTTACAACCTGTCCTTCCGAAATTCGGAGAGATTGCGAACATGGGTAGAAACGATTCGTATAAAAAAATAGCTACAATTAAATGGCCAACAATGATTAATTAAATTGATTGAAGTAAGGTTTTTTTTGTAATAAATTTCATACTATTAGTAGCGGATATTTGAACTTAATGATTTAAGAGCCATCGAAACAGAAATATTTATTTATAGCAATAAATAAAAGAATCAGAACAAATGAATATTAAAAGGAAAGTACAGTTTATATCCATAAAAGCTAATACGATTTTTTGAGTTCACAGGAATGGTTTGTCCGTAGCACAGCCTATCTTCACTGTGTCAAAGCTCAGTAATCCTCAAATTGCAACAAATGGTTATCCAATTCTGATTTCTGTAATAAAAAAAATTGACATATATACATTATAGGACACATTATTATTTCAATAGACACATAATAGAAATCGTTAAAATTATGCTTAAACCCGTCTGATTATTTTTAGAAGATCCACATCAAGAAAAAGCAAATCCATAAATAAAGCAGAATTGCAATCTCACGAAAATATCGTCAAATAAGTAGTTGAAATCATTTTAGAAATGAGTAGAAAACTAACAAAAGATAAATACTGTGAAGTATTTTAATATTCAAATGATTTTAAAATGTGGGCATAAGAAATCCTAAAACTACGCTTCACAAGTTGACTGAACGAAAAGCGTGGAATCTGCATCAAAAGAGGAGGGAGAAATTTTCGAAGTGACAGAAGTTAATCACAAAAATGAAACCCCATGTTTTTTGATTTAGATGTGAGAAAACAGGTTACATATTTTATCCTTTTAAGTCCACTTATAAAACGCAGTTTATTGAATTTTTTATTTCATTTCCTTTTTTTTAGAATCCCAACTATTATTTTGTTAATAACAGAAAAACGTTAAAATTTTGTTAGTTAATTTAAGATAAATAAATATTTCTCGCAATATTTACGCGATCTTTAACAGAGATTCAGTCACTATTGGAGCACTTTAGCTAGTCAAAAAGAGTATGGAATTTAGGTTGACGTTTAAAAAGAATGTTAGTAATAATATCGCAATAATTTTTGCTTTAATTAGACAGGAAACTATCGCAACTTGCATTGTTCATCTAACACAGAGCTTCAATTAAAGTTTAAAAGCTCAAAGTCTTCAGAAACTGATCAAAGTTTTAATTAACTATAAATTATGAGGTAATAATAACACGATAAATTCAGCTTAAATCGTTTAAAACATAATTTTAACCTCTATTGCTAACTGGAGCAGAACTCTAAAAATGAATTCAGGGCTTTACGGGATGAGGTCTAAAGTTTAATTGAAAGATTTCATCGTCACAATGCGAAAGCAAGCTAAAAAACGTTATAAAATAAAAAGAAAAAAGAAAACTGTGACAATTGATCATAAACTAAAACCCATAACGAGTTTCACTGCTGCACACTTATACTATTGAAAAGTTTTAACCATTAATTTAACATAACATCACTCGCAATGTCTACACTCTTTTTATCGATTTCATATCTTTTGCAAGCAAAAAGTCCGTTACAAAGTAAATTGTGCCTAAGGTGCAATGGGACGTTAGTAAAAGTTAGAAATTGTTCTTCTCAACAAAAATGCACCCTGAAGAGTTTCTGACAAATGGCATCAACCAGAATTGGATTTTCCCTTATTTATTTTAAAACAAGAAAAAAATAGAAGGAAAAGCTTCACACCCCATTTTCTAGATTTTTGCAGAATTTATTTATCCTGTTTGAGTAAAAAAACTAAAATTATTTTACTAGAAAACAGTGAAATATTTCAAGTGTATCATAATTTAGTAGAACGGCATCATATAAAATCTACACATTCCATTTCAGGCAACTGTTCTGGTAGCTTTTTGATGCTGAACGTAAAACAAGACATGACGTCTGCACAAGTAATTAATCGAATAGCCAGCAAAACAGGCCACGTACTAAATACTGACCTCGTTACTAAAACACTAATCTCAAATTTTATTATATATCAACCTAATTCAATTCACTGTAAAAAAATATTTTAAATTATATGGATGCAGCATGTATTTCTTTCATCTTTCCTTTCTTCTATATATGAATTAATATTTCATGAAAATTAAATTCTTCATGAAACCTGAATATGATATTCATGCTTCATGAGGAATTTCATCTTTCGCAAAGCGTATAATACCTTCAAATTTTTTAATATGCACATGATGTCATTAAATGAAGATAGGGCATTTCAAGAGGATTGATCGAACTGTGACCAAAAACCTCACCGTACACCAGTGTTTCCCTAACTTATCACTTTTGTGTACCCTTTCTAAATATTTCGTAACGCTTTGTACCATTAATAAAAAAATTTATGTATTTTTTACTATAAAAAATTGCATAAAAGTTACAAATCACTACTGG